CAGCAGGTGGAGGGAGGTCATCCTGCCCCTCTGCTCTGCCCTGGGGAGGCCCCAGCTGCAGCACTGGGACCAGTTCTGGGCTCCCCAGTTCCAGAAGGACAGGGAACTGCTGGAGAGGGGCCAGCAGAGGCTACAAAGATGATGAGGGGCCTGGAGCATCTCTCTGCTGAGGAGAGGCTGAGGGACTTGGGTCTTTTTAGTCTGGAGAAGAGAAGGCTGAGGGGGAATCTGATCAACACCTATAAATACTGAAAGGGTGGGTGTCAGGAGGATGGGGCCAGGCTTTTTCCAGGGGTGCCCTGTGATAGGACAAGAGGAAATGGGCACAAACTTGAATATAAGGAGTTCCACCTAAACTTGAGGAGGAACTTCTTTGCTGTGAGGGTGGCAGAGCCCTGGCAGAGGCTGCCCAGAGAGGTGGTGGGGTCTCCTTCTCTGGAGACATTCAAACCCCACCTGGACACGTTCCTGTGGGACCTGCTCTGGGTGGCCCTGCTGTGGCAGGGGGTTGGAGGAGCTGATCTCCAGAGGTCCCTTCCAACCCCGTGTCATTCTACGATTCTATGATCTCTGCTTTTTCCCCCCACCCCAACTAGAACACCAGGAATGGCAGCTCTCGGGTGGCCGGGACGGCTGTGCGGGTCGGGTGGAGGTCTTTTTCCGCGGCACGTGGAGCACGGTGTGCGACAGCACGTGGTACGAGATGGAGGCCAAGGTGCTGTGCCACAGCCTGGGCTGCGGCCCGCCCCTCCGGCGACTCTTCTTCCCCCACACCTTGCCCAGTAGGATGGTCTACGAGTGCCAGAACCTCCAGCCCTCGCTGGCCCACTGCTGGTGGGCTTACAATAAATCAGCTCCTTGCCACCAGTCCCAGGCGGTCGGCGTGGTCTGCAACGGTATGGGAGACACCCCCTTGGTTTTTTGGGGGGCAGATGAGCTGCAACCTGCTTTCTTCTGTCCCCCACCACCCCTTCTCCATCCCTGTCCCTCCCCTCCTGCTCACAGGCTCCCAGGGCTTGCAGACACCCACCCCGGTGGCCACAGTGACACCGAGCAACGTCACCCTCCTGAGAGGTGAGTGTCCTACAGAGCTTCAGCCGTGAGCTGGGTCTTGGGACAAGGGGGTGGTGGAGGGTGCGGGGAGCATCCAGCTCACCCCCTTTCACCTGGAGGAAGGCCGTCCCGGGTGTCACAAGCTGTGTCCATTCTCTGTCTCAGCCGAGGAGGGGTCCCTGGCAGCGGGGGGACAGTCCCCCCTCTACATGCCCCTCTTCATCCTCTGCCTGGTGCTGATGGTGCTCCTCCTCCTCACTGTCCTGGCCTTCACCACCGCCCTGCTGAGGGTGAGGAAGATGAGCGGTAAGGAAGCTTCCCCTCACCCCCCATCGGGGGGGAATGGGGGGCTCTGACCATGGAGGGGGTGACACTGGTGGCCCAGCCGGGGCCACCCCACTCCCTGGGCTGCAGGAATGGGGGGCAACTGTGCCACGGAGCAGTTGTGAGGGTGTCACCCCTTGTCCCCACAGCCCACGCCGTGTCCTCCCCCGGGCTGGCTGGGCCGGTCCTGGTGACCCACAGCATCCAGAGCCCTGACGTGCCCTCCGGGACCTCCAACGACTACAGGGAGATGCCCACCAGCCTTCCCAAAGGACCAGGTAGGTCTTGGTGGGTCAGAGGGGAGCAGGATGTTGTGGGGCAGGGGGTCCTGGTTGGCCATGGCTGCCCTGTCTCCCCTCTTATCCCCCCCAGACCCACCGGTCACGGACCTTCCCAGCGCCAAGGACTCCGACTCCGACTACGAACACTACGATTTCAGCAGCAAGCCACCCGTGGCCCTCTCCACCTTCTATAGTCAGCATCCCACCTGCCCTGGGGATCCCTGGGACCCCCATCACCCTCTCCTGGGGTGTCCCGGGGCGCCCTGGCTGATGTCCCTCCTCCTTGCCCACCCCACAGATTCCCTGCGCCAACATCCCGGGGACCAGTCGCTCCCGTTGATGCCCAACCAGGATGGGATGGAGCCGTTCCCTACAAGGGGTATGACACCAGGGGTGGCCATCCCTCTGTCCTGTACCACTGGTGGGCCAGGGGGTCACCCTTGCAGCCCTGGGGGGGCTAATGTTAGCCCTCTGCCCCACAGTGCCAGCCAGGCTGGGCCCCCCATCCCGCAGCAGGGCGAGCAGCTCTTCCAGCTCCTCCTCTTCCTCCGCTGAGCCCTACTGCAACCACAGCGCGGCCCCCCCTCACGCCTGGGTCTGCCCCCAGCCCCCCGAGGATGGCACCCACCCGCACGCAGCACCCATCACCCACGGCTACGACAACTATCCTGGCACAGGTGGGCATCACTGGTGGGCTCTGTGGTACCAGGGACTGGGGCAGGGATGGAGAGACCCCAAGGATGGAAGAAGGGATGGAGAGAGAGACCCCAGAGATGGAGAGACCCCAAGGATGAGGACAGGGATGGAGAGACCCCAAGGATGGGGACAGGGATGGAGAGACCCCAAGGATGGAAGTAGGGATGGAGAGACCCCAAGGATGGGGACAGGGATGGAGAGACCCCAAGGATGGAAGTAGGGATGGAGAGACCCCAAGGATGGGAGCAAGGGATGGAGAAACCCCAAGGACAGTAACAGGGATGGGGACAGCCCTGGAGACAGGAAGGGGGTGAGGGGACCCCAAAAATGGGAGCAGGGAATAGCAGGGACAGCCCTGGGGAGGAGAGCAGGGATGGAGAAACCCTGGGGATGAGAGCGGGGATGGGGACAACCCCAGGGAGGGAATGGGAGCGGGGGGACCCCAGGGGCTGGGTGCAGGGATGGAAGATGCCATTGAGAGTCCTCTTCTCCCCCAGCAGAGCCATGCCTGCCCGCCCCAGTGCTGTCCCACCCCTGGACACCCGTGTCTCCAGCAGAGCCCCATCCCGCTGACAGCTCCAGCACCTCCTCGGGGGAGTGGTACGAGAACGTGCAGGACAAGGAGCCACCCGGGGACCCCTCCTCACACCCCGGTGAGGACCCTTCATGGGCAGGGCAGGATCAGGGTGGCACAGGGAGGGGGGTGCATCAGGGCTCCTCTGCCTCCACAACATCCTCCTCCCCATCCCTGCCCACCTCCCTGATGGGGTCTCTCCCTTCCAGGCTGGCCAGGTCCCTCCTGTCCCTTGGGGGGACACGCACAGGAGCCCGACTCCTCCGACGGCAGCGATTACGATGACATCCAGGGCTCTGCCTACTGAGGCTGCCCCATGGACCACAGGGACGTGGCCAAGGGGGGGGACATGGCACTGCCAACATCTCTGGACTTTCCCAGCCACCTCCTCCGTGCCGGGGTGGGGGGACGTGTCCCGGTGTCACCCGGGGGGACACTCTGCACAGATGAGCACTGCCAGGCTACGTGCTGTGATTAAAAGCTTTTCCCAGTGGGTCACCATCTCCTTCGGCCATCGGGGGGGTGGCAGGTCACCAGCCCCACCAAGGAGGCTGGGCCACCAAACCCTCCCACGGGGCAACAAGGGATAAGTGGCACAAAGATGTCCCTTCTGCCACCCCTTGCCTGGTTGGTGGTGGGGACCAGCGTCGCCTGCAGGACCTGGCTACCAGGTGATGTCCCCCCCCTGCCCACAGAGCTGTCCCCCAAGGACCCCCTGTCCCCCCAGCCCCCAGTAGCAGATATTGGGGGGGAAGCAGGGTCTGATCCAGCCCCACAGCACCGGAGATCCCCATGGCTGGGGGTGGCAATCGGTCCCTGGGGGTGGCAATCAATCCCTGGGGGGGGCCCTGCAGGGAGGCGGGTGGTGGGGACATGGGGTGACAGTGTCCCACAGCCAGAGGCCCCCCCAAGCTTTCCCACATCCCCCTGAACCACTCCCCATCCTGGGGACACACCGGTGACCGTGCCCATAAACTCATAAACCCATAAACGAGCAGGGGGGGCTCCAGGGATGCTGGCAGAGAAGGCACTGGAGTCCCATCCCAACCACACTGGATGGTGCTGGGGGGGGGTCCCGGACCCTTCTTGCCCCAGCCTGGGTCTGGGGGGGCTCCTGGACCCTTCTCACCCCAGCCTGGGTCTTGGGGGGGCCCCAGACCCTTCTCACCCCAGCCTGGGACTGGGAAACAGATAGCAAGCAGGAACAAAAAGGGGGACAAAAATGGGACAATAATAGCCAGCTTTCAACCCAGGGGTGGGGGGGCTTGTCCCCCTCACCCAGAGCTCAGGAGGTGGGACACAGCCCCCCCAAGGGAGGAATAACCCCCTCCAACATCCCCTGTGCTGGGGTACCCCACGGTCCTCCAGAGCAAAGCAGCGTCCCCCCCCCCGGGACAGGGACACTGGTGGGATGGGGGGGTTCACCAGCCAAGCCACACACAGCACCCCCTTGGGGCTGGGACCCCCTCCCCATCCTGTCCCGGGGTGGGGGGGCTTCCCTGGCTCTTTGCAACAAACCCCATGGCACGTCTCTTACCCCAACGCCCGCCGGCGGGTTTCCATCTCGGGGCACGATGAGGTGGAGCCACGGCAGAGGTTGGGGTTCAGACCCACCCCCGTGGAAAATTTGCCCCCAAATCCCTCCTCCTCCACCCCCAGATCGG